CCCACAAGTAGGATGTCGACTGGACTCTGTATCTTTACAGCAGCAGGAAAATGGAAATCCCTTAAGGGAACATACAAAAGAGGTTGGCTGAATAGACTGTGGTGTGTGTTTAGACCATAGGATCTACAGATAGAAGATGACTGAGTGTTACAGAGCAATTGAATTATCTCAAAACAATGTTGGGTGGAAAAACACAAGTATCTGCGTAAACCTTAAAAATGCAAATAATATTGTATATTGCCATAGTCAAAAATACCTGTGCATATAATAAAGTGCGAAGGACCAGGGAAGGATGAAAGGGTGCCGTTAACTTCAGAAAATGGTCCTCCTGGGCTGGAGAAAGCCCGGTGGGAAGGAGAAGGTAGGGCTTTCTCTGTGCTAGTGCTGGTTTGCAGCTTGGGAAGAAAAGAAAGGCTCTGCAGCAAATATAGCAAACGCTGATATTGCTTACAGCGAGGGAGCTGGGATATGGAAGTCTCATGCTTTTCTGTATGTTTGGAGAATTTCATAACTAAAAATAAAAACATTAAAATGAAAAATGAAAGTCTACATTTACTTCCTTTTTGACTGTGTTAAATTCCAAGTCATGAACCGCTCTATATTCATGAAGAGGGAGAGGTGAGAAAAAAAGCCGAAGACCTCCTCTGTTCTGTTTCTTAGATGAATAGTGATCTATTTAAAAATTAGCTTGCTTAATGGTATCTTTTTTTGTGATAGTTAATTTTCTGACAGTGTAATTTTCTCTTTCCAGTGTTCTTTGCTAGGGTTACGTGTTTTTTAAGGAGTGAAGTATTTCAGCCAGAGCAGTAATCTCATGTGTATTCATATTAAGTGTGGAAAAGGAAGATTTTTTTCCATCCCTGCTCTACCCCATCAAGCAGTTTGTGCCCAAGCTGTTGCCGTGGTGCTGTGTCCCAACCCCTTCTGCTTCTCCCTGTGAAGTCCTGGTCCTGAGCCATGGTCCCCTGATCTGCATAGAGGCAGAAGTGAGGTGGAGGGGGGCAGTGCCTGCTTTTGCTGCAGGAGACAGGAAGGACAGGTCTGTGCTGGGTCCACGGAGCAGGCTACTCTCTGGACCTGGCACTAGAACCCCGCTCTGGCTGCCTGTGGTTGCCATGACAGCAGACTGTGTTTCCTGGGCAGGTGGAAACTGGATTTGAGACCCCTTTCCTGTTGGTTCCCTCTTTCAAGAAGCAAGACCTTAACCTAGTGGACTTACGGTGCATGCGTTCTCCTACACATGACTCAAGTTTGTCCTGCTTTAGGGCAGAGGAGTGCTCCATGGTGTGTAAATACCATGTTTTCTCTATTCATTTATCTATGGGTGGTCATGTAAGCCACTTCCAGGATTTAGCTGTTGTGAGCTGTGCCGCTGTAAACAGGTGTGCATGGATTGCTGTAACAGGATGTGTATAGCTCTTTCAGAAAGATACCTAGAAGGGGAATAGTTTGTTTTTTAAGTATTCTCCACACTGATTTTCACAGTGGTTGTACTAGTTTACATTCCCGCCAACAGTGTGGGAGGTGGTTTTCCCCCTGCAGCCTTGCCGGCGTTTGTAATTACCGATTTCTTAATGCTGACCATTGTCTCTGGAGTGAGATAGAATCTTGGTGTTTTAATTTGCATTTCTCTAATGGCCACAGACGTTGTCAGACAAATAAATATCACGTGGTTTCTCTTATATGAGGGACCCAAAGTGTATGTAAAGAGCAAACTGGAAGACAGAGGTTAAGAAACAGAGCTTTCATGAAAGGGAAGGGGACCGAGAGGCACAGGGAGGTGGGAAGGAGGGTTTGAAAAGCAGGCATGCGTGTCGGTGCCCCAGCTCCCTGCGAGCGTGTAAGTACTGCGTACTGCAGACATGGACTAATAAAAAAACCGAAAGACAAAAGAAGCAGTAGCTGTTCCGTCTCCGGCTCTGGGAGCAGAGGACAGGCGCATTGGGCTCGCAGAGGTCTCTGGGATCCCGTGGCTGGTGTCCCTGATTGCTGGCTGTGCAGTGCTCTCTGTCTCCCTTCCCGGAGGTGACCTCAGAGGTGTGCATGTCCTTTGAACTCACCCCCAGGCGCAGTGGCTGGGTGCCAGACTTGGGGCTCACCTAGCTCCTGGGTCCCTGGGACCTGGCTCCGTGTCCCTGAGATCCAGGCTGCGGCACCCTGTCCAGGCTGCTTCTTGCGACCTCGGCCCATGACTCTGGCCACTTCCTGTCCTCAGCTGCTCCTCGGCTGGGCTCCAGGCAGCAGATGGCTGCTGCTCCGTGCCCTCCCCTCACCCGGTTCTTGCAGATGCACCCACCCAAAGGCTGGTGTCTGTGTCGTCATGTCGCTTGCTTAGAATGTGACAGGAACACAAAGGGACATGTTCCCTTGCAAACGCTGTCTCCCTTTCCCACTTCCTGAGCTGGCCATTCGAGGGCACCCTCACTGGACTGTGGGGACACCCAGCACTGAGGGCAGAAGAGGCTCTGGGGCAGTGTCATTTCCAGCCTCTGCTGCCCAAGGCTTTTGTGAGCTCACCTAGGGTTACTCATCCACGGAGGAGCAGCCCATTCCTCTCTCTGGAGAGTGTAAGCCAGGCAGCAGAGGCAGGTGGGTCTCTGGAGCCACCCTCGAGGCCACCTCAGGGATGTCTTCTGGGAATCATGCTCCGAATCACGCTCAGTGTCACCCAGGCTGGGAAGATCTGCTGCAGAACTTGTAGTTGCTGTGGAGAGACCGTAAGGACATGGTTCTCTCTGAGAACCCGTGAGATCATTTGTCTCTGCTCTCAGACTAGGATCAGTTGGGCTTCTGCTACAGTGTGAATTTTGTACCTGATCCTGGGTACTTCTTTGAGCTGGCTGTGCGAGAGCTCAACTAAAGTTGTTTTCAATTTGTATTTTTATTCAGCCACGTTTACAATACATACTGGTTACATTCTTCATGGGGAGCTGGTACATGGACACAGCACATCTCAATTCCTTTTTTATCCCCTTCCTTCCCCCTCCATCCATCTTTTATTTACATTTTAGTGTTCTAATGTGAGAGAAACCATGCAGTATTTAATCTTGTGTGTCTGATCTATTTCACTTAACATTATGGTCTCAAGTTGCATCCATTTTCCTACAAATGACTTGAGCTTATCCTTCTTTGTGGCAGAGTAGTATTCCATTGCATGTGAAAACCACATTTCCTTTACCCATTCATTTATCTGTTGATGGACATACAGGCCACGCCCAAGATTTAGTTATGGTGAATTATGTTGCTACAAACATGGATATGCATGGATCACTGTAATATGATGTCTCTAACTCTTTCAGGAAGATACCTAGAAGAGGTATAGCTAGGTGGAATGGAATTCCTAGTTTTAGTTTTCCGAAGATTCTTCACACTAATTTCCATAGTGGTTGTAGTTGTCTACGCTCCCACCAGCAGTGCAGAAGGGTGTCCTGTTCTTCCTCAGCCTCACCAGCATTTGTTATTGATGTCTTTATGGTAGCCATTTTTTCTGGAGTGAGATGGGATCTCAGTGCTGCTTTAATTTGCATTTCTCCAGTGGCCAGTAATGTTGAGTATTTTTTCATGTATTTATTGGCCATTTGTATTTCTCCTGAGAAATGTCCATTTATGTCAGTCCATTATTTTGATTGGGTCTTTTATTTATTTATTTATTTGGGGGGTTGTACTTATATGTTCTAGATATTAGCCCTCTGTTTGAGGAGTAGATGGCAAAAATTTTTCCCCAGCTGCTTCTAGCGAGTGTGTCCAACATAAAATGTGTGTGGCGGCTTTGTCTTATGCTTTCCACCCTTTATTTGTTCCTCTCTGGTCTTCGCCTATTCGCTTTTCTCTCAGGTGTTTTGTAACCTCCCTTGTGGGGATAAGACGTTATATAACTTCACATGTAACCCAGCTTACGGTGAGGCAACCGTAGTATTTACATAAAAACATAACTCAGGATTCTTTCCAGATGCTGTAGTTTAAGGAAAGGGCTTAAAGGGCAACTTTAAAAGACTTTGTTTCTGTAAGTTGGGATCCTTATACCCAGTAGTTGAAATAATGGCATAATCTGTGAGAATAGCAAAATTTGAAGGGAAAACAAATGTGAAAAGGACTGACTGACAGTGGGCTGCAAGGTTGAGGACTCCTAGTGGTCTGGCTTCTGCCACACGTACCCACACTTTATTAGATGTTGGGGTGCAGGATAGGCCCGGGACCTGCCCTTTGGGAGGTCACATTGCAGCCCTGTTCTCTACACCGTTTCGTCTTATCATGCAGTACTGAGTAGTGTCCTGGTGACCCTAAAAGCAACTTCAAATTTGAAAAATTGTCGACACGTGTCTGTTCAAAGGGAATATTTGTAGTTCAGAATACATTCTTCTGTAACCCAGAGTAATCACAGGAAAATTTTAAATTGATAAGACATAGATATAAATAAAGAAAACAGAAAATTAGCAAATGTTCTTGAGTTCTCCCCTTAGAAGGGAGAGAGAGATGCCAGCAACAAGCGAGATCACACACTGCCCCCTCACCAGCCCAACACGGTGCCAGTAGAAACTGCTAGACTAAGTGGCAAAATGTAGGCATAGACTGGCAGGAGATCTGAGAGCGGGCACCGAGCTTGCTGTGGTGACGAGATGAACCCCCTCCACAGAAGGCACCGTTTCTAGTTTGAGTCCTTCCTCTGGCACCTGGTGGCGGCAGATGCGTATCGCAGGGTGGTCGCAGAGGTGTAACCTCCACGTGGTACAGGACCACCAGAGCACTGTGAATACACAGCACAGCGGTCAGAGGTCTTGGAAAAGACATTCCAGGAAAACGAGGCCCTCGTGTTGCTCCAGAATCTCGTCAGAAGTGTGGTTGAAGTCCAGTTTTGGTACATGGATATTGGGTCTATTCATGTGTGTGTGTGTAACAGACAGGTGAGAAAGTAAACATTTTTATCTGTAAACATTTCTGGAAATACATGATCGGCCTGGGATTCCAGGTGGGTTTTAATGGCCTCTGTTTTAATTTCACAGTGTGTGGACAATATACGATGCAATGGCTTAATGACTATAGTCTTTGAAGAGAACTCCAAAGTCACGGTGCCACATATGATAAAGTGAGTATAGCAGTCCTTCCTCTGCATTTTACCAAGATTAAGCTGGTGGAGATACGAAGCCTTGAGTAGACTATTGCTTCAGTCCATTGAGCTTCTTATCAAGAATGTTTCTTGCCAGTCCTGTGATCATTCATGTTATGCCATTACAAATGATAAGGACATCCAAATGGAATTTTAGGCTCACAGTTTGTTCACTTGTACCCTAGGAAAACTCTTTTTCATACCATTGAATATGGTTTCACTCTGTGTGGACATCTGAAGTGTGACACGGGTGTGTCCACAGTCAGAGGCGGACGGTGGTGTGGCTGACTTGTGCAGCGCCGCCCTGTGGGTGTGAACCTATCACTCAGGTGTGGCAGTAGAGAAATGTGTAGATGTGGAGCACAGCTAACAGTAATCAGCTAGCTTGACCATGAGATCTTCTGCCCACTGCCTGCCTCTGACTTGGCCCAGGTGCCACTGGGAGTCTTGCGTCCTGCTCAGTCTGTGTCTCAACAAAGCGAATCCTGCAACTCAAGGGAACCACTAGGGTCTCTAGAATTTAAAAGAAGTTTCATTTCTTTTCTTGTCACTGGGACACAGTACCCAACACCCACGCCTTAGCGGAGAGCCTTATTTTGGCCCATGACCTCATCCATAGTTGACTGGGTGCAGGGCAGAAGGTCCTGGAGGAAGAGAGCTGCTCACAGCACAGTGGGTCACAAAGCAGAGAGGGGAGGGGCTGGGGAGAAAGATACTGTATAACCTTCCAAGCCACGCCCCCAGCGACCTGCTCCAACCAGGCCCCGCCTCCCAACACCAACCCCTGACCCACCCACCTTCCATAATCCCTGCCTCTGCCCCCGGCTTTGGGGGCATCCAGGTAAAAACCAGAACGAACACTATGTGCTGAAGCTCTGTCTTCACGTGTCTGTCTCTGTATAATATTTTGTTTCTAAATTTAGAAATTGTTCTGGAACAGTTCTAAAGTGGACCAGGCTGTTCCTTACTTTCCATTTCTTGGCTATTTGCATTCTTAATTCTAAGAGTAAAGTGTATTTTTGGAAGCAATTTCGTTAGATCTTTTAAAACAGAAGCTACTGGAAACTCAGAGTATGTTTGCTTTTCATGCCTTCTTCTGTGGATATTTTGAGGTCTGAACTGTTTGTGCTGAAACAGTGAGAAACGTGAACTATAGATGAAGGTGACTTTCCTCTTGCACAAGGTGGACCCTACAGGGAGCACGATCCCAGCGGTGCTAGAGGTAGGGTTGTAATGATCATATCCAAGGAAGGCCCGGACACAACATTGTCACCATGATTGGCGTGGAAAGTTGTGATGTACAGGAGAATGATAGTATTTTAAACTTTTAGGCAAATTTTAGAATACTTCAGGGAGGCCCATTTTTTAAACTTCAGGGCAAAAATTCCTTTTGTATTCAATTGTCTAGAGTTTCAATTTACTGTCTTTCAGAGATGGGGTACTGAAAAACGTATGACGTTAAGATTAAGAACCAGTATGGTCTATTACTTCAAGAGGTCCAAATCATGACTTGATTTCTGAATTCACGTCACTGAGTTGGAATTATCTTGCTCGTTTCTTACTGTAGGATTCTCCTTTTAATCTTTCTCAGAATGATATCTGTGCGTTTCATTGGTTAGCCAGCTACGACTGGCTTAGAATGACAGTGTGTGAGACGGGCTTGTGGCTGGGTTGTGAGGCCCTGGGACAGCTATTTATCCACCCACTTCACACATATCTTGCTGACTTTGGGAATTATACAGTACTAAAGAACAGGACGGGAACCTGTGTCTTGGGCTGTGAGGATTTCCTGTCCCATTGAGAGTCTACACCCCACTTGGGGTGTCTATGCCTCCTGGTCTCCCCATTCATCTGTTGCCCTGGCTACGCCATGGGGAAAAGAGAAACCAACATTTTTTAGTGAAACAAAAGCAAATTTTCCTGCTGCAACCATCCACATCTCCTTGCTGACACGGTGCTAAAGCCCTCCCGTCCTTTCAAAACTTCCCAAATATCACAGATGATCTGGTTTCAATCTCTTGTGATCGCTTCCTGTGTGTTTGTCAGAAGGAGCTGCTGTGATCACAGGAAGCTTACGTAACACATTCTGTCTTTCTTGAGAGTCCCTTAGGAAATAAAGTAAGATCCTGCTTGGTGCAATAAAAGAAAATTAAGTAATTTCATAATATTCAATTTCTTTTCTCAAAATGAAAATGTGATCATAATTTTGAAGGACAGAACTGCGTTTAATGCTGGCCTCAACATATTTTCCTTCTCCTAGTGCTCCAAATAAACTAATTATACTGTAGTTAAGAGATGCGGAGCCCAAAACTACGATTAGAACGTGCAGTCGTGATCCTTGGCAGGGGACAGTGTCCTTTGCGTGGTATCCGAGCTCAGCCTTTGTTTTTGCAATATCTGGCCTCAGTTTTCTTAGAAAATGAGATACTGGGTGGGAAGCAGTAGGAAAAGAGCCGCTATTCATTCAGTCATATTTGGGACAAATTGATGGGTTCCTAGAATTGCTCAGGCCTTTTGGTAAATGAGAAAATTGAGAACCAGAAAAATCGAATTAGTGGACACTCATGCAGCGAGGGGAGGAAAAAGCCACACTGTCTGCAGCCATCTCACACGTGTACTTGTGCATTTTCGAGATCAATAGTGTGAAGTCAAGAGGCCGCCCTCTGTCAGCCCTGTGGGGCTCGGCTGGTCACTTAAGATGCCCTTGTGGGCTGTAGGACGGAGGTCCTCTGCTCCCATGAGCACACTGCAGCTGGAAAGTTTCTAAGAGCAAATGGAGGAAGCTAGTGAGTCCTTTCTAGTCGAAAGGAAATAAATATATAATCGCAAGCCCCTGGCAGGGCTGAACGGGTTCATTACGAGAGCTCACGAGAAGCCACTGGCTCTGGCCTCTGTGGCCGGTGCTCAGCCGTCACTTGTCCCGTGGCATCTCCTTGGGGATAGCAGTGAAATCCAGGCCCTCCTGGGTCCCTGCGCTGTAGCTGCAGAGGTCGGGGACGCACGATCTCGCGAGAAAAGCCGAGGCTGCCTGGGCCGCGGCTTCGATGTTCTGCAGAAGAGCCTGGTGTGCAGGGTGGTGAGGGCAGATCCGTGAGTGGAGCGCTTTTCATCTAGTGCTGGCTTGTTTTGTTTTAAAGAAAACATTTTCAATGGTGCAGGTTATTGAAAACATAATTCAGGCGTAACACATCACGCTTACTTTAGGGATGAAATTACATTCAGAAAATATCAGCACATTAGTAAGCCAGAAGAGTGGGATCCATGAATTAGGAAATCCAACTCAAGACCTTAGGAAAGGTGTAGAAACTCAACACAGGAACGTGTAGGAAGAAAGTACACTGAGATATGACTGAATGATCATAGGTTAAAATGCAGGAAAACGGCAGAACTGCTACATCAGAGGGCCAATTCTAGAAGGCAAAATTCTGAGCCGCAGATATTGCTAGATTAGATTGCATTAATATATGGCAGTGATGTTTATGTCTCTCCCCCACCCTGTGTGGTACTTTTTGAGCACATTTCTCATATTCTGCTTTCAGACCCTAAAAAACACTTTCCGCACTATGTCTGGTGGTGCACACCTGTAATCCCAGCACTCAGGAGGCTGAGGCAGGAGGATCACCAAGAGTTCGAGGCCAGCCTGGGCTACATAGTGAGACCATGTCACAAAACAAGACAACAAAAAATAAGAAATGCTCTTCCTCTGCTAAAGAGGGCTTTGATTTTACTTTCTTAGTAAAATGTAACTGAACTAGCCAGCAGGGGCGCGTGCCTGAAGCCAGTTTTTAGTGCTTCAGCCTCCACAGTTAAGCACAGGCTTCTTGGGTAATAACGGCCAGGCTGCCCCAGCACGCACACTGGCCGCGTGTGCCGCCCCTCCGCCGAGGTTCACGGCTGCTTTGCACAGGTCTGACGCCCGGCTGCACAAGGACGACGCGGACATCTGCTTCAGCAAGACCCTCAACTCCTGCAAGGTGCCGCAGATCCGCTGCGCCAGCGTGGAGCGCCTGCTCGAGCGCCTCACCGACCTGCGCTTCCTGAGCATCGACTTCCTCAACACCTTCCTGCACACCTACCGCCTCTTCACCACGGCCGCAGTGGTGCTGGCCAAGCTGGCCGACATCTACCGGCGGCCCTTCACCTCCATCCCCGTCAGGTAGGGCCCGTGCCAAGGACCCGAGGTGAGGGCGGGAGGGAGCGCGGGCTCCAGGGCTCCAGGCCCGGCAGGCTCTGGGGATGCTGGGGGCTGAGTCCATGGATGCACGCCTTTGGCTTCTCCTCCTCCCCTCCCTCCTTCACCTCCCCCCTCCCCCCTCTTCCCCTCCTCTCCTTCTCATCCCCTCCCCCTCCTCCGTCTTCCCCCCCTTCCTCCCTTCCTGCCTTCCCTCCCCTCCCCTTCTCCTTCCTCTCCCCCTTTGCACCCTCCCCTTCCCTCCCCCTTCTTCTTCCCTTCCTCCTCCTCATCCCCCTCCCCTCCTCTCCTCCCTCCCCCTCTTCTCTCCCACTCTCTCCCCCCTCCGCTCCCCCTTTTCTCCCCCCAGCAGAGTTTACAGACCGCACCCTTGGCCTCTAACCCCTGTGAGATCCGCGGGAGGGGTACGGCGTGCCCTGTGGGCGCGCATGGATTCTTCCGCAGGGCGCAGACCCAGCTAGGACCCGGAGGTCGGGGCTCAGCGCCAGTTCAGGCGCGGGCACCCCCGGCCTGGCCGAGGAGGTGACCGCCCACCCGCCGCGCCCCCAGGTCCCTGGAGCTGTTCTTCGCCTGCAGCTCAGGCCGCGCCGAGCCCTCCGCGGACACACGGTCCCCCAGGCTGAGCCGCAAGTTCTCTTCGCCTCCGCCGACCGCATCCAGGACCGCCTCGCCCGTGCCCACCCGGAAGCTGTCCCTGAGCTCACCCGCCAGCGCCAGGACCGGCCCGCTGGACCTGACCACGGCCTCGGTGTCCGGCAGCCCACCCGCCGCACACAGCCCCACCGCCTCCCCACCACCGCACCCGGGTGAGTCCCTCTCCGCAGCTGCCCGAGGGAGGCGTGCCTGTGTGTTCGGCCCGGAGCAGTGTCCACGCCTGGAGACGAGGGTGCCAACCCTCCCGATCTGTGCTCCAAGCTTGCCTACCCATATCTCAGGCTGCACACTGTGGGTTCTCCTTGGTCGTCCTGCCCCAGGGCCTTTGCACTTTCTCAGCCCTCTGCCCACACAGCCTTCCTGGGTGTGTAAGCTCCAGGACGTCAGCAGCCCCACCTTCCTGTTCCTCTGCACATCCTCAGCACCTGGGCCAGGGCCTGCCCCAGAGGATATTTCTGTGGAATGAAGAGTGAAGTAAAACACTTGAACACTGGATGGGCCTCTGGTGGGTCACCTGACCTTCCTCAGCCTGATGCACATGGTGGGGGACGAGACCCTCGGTGCTGTGGAAACCCAGTGCCTTCCTGTGAGGAACAAAAATGGTTTCTCAGTCCAATCAGCAAGGAGATTTTCTTTAGTCCCTCTACATGCAGTGGTGTCTCCATTCACGAATTTATTCTTTCCACAATTCTGGTCCAAAACCAAATTGGACAAGAACCAAATCAAATTCAATGGTTTTGAATTTTAGGTTTAGTGTTGGCCTTATGGGGAACCTTGATTAAATTCTTGTCCAATTTGGTGTGTGGCCAGAATCATGGAAAGAATTCAGTTTGTGAGCCCAGGTACCACTGTGCATTTATTTACTTACTGGTTTTGTTTGTTTGTTTAAGGCAAGGTCTCACTATAGTTCAGGCTGGCCTTGAACTCACTATGTAGCCCAGGCTGGCCTCAAACTCGCTGTGATCCTCCTGCCTCAGCCTGCTGAGACTTGGGATTCTAGGCGTGAAACACCACACCTGACAGTGTATTTATTGATGACATAAAAATTGAGCAATAACTCAGAGAAAGGTTCACATTTCAAGGAAGAGCCTAGTGGAATTTGAGCTGGAGCAGCTGTCATGTTTGACAGTGGCCGCCTTCACCAAGAAATCAGCCACAGCTGCTGAGGAGGAAGAGGAGGGAGGAAGATTGAGACGCCTTTAAACAAGTTTGAGTGAAGTCACAGTGTGTCCTACTGGGTCTAAGGAGGCTGCACAGGAGGAGCTGACAGGGCGGCATCTGGATCTGGCCTGGGTTGGGCTCAGGGAGGTGGACACTCGGCCCCAGCGCGGGAGGTGCAGGAGGGTCCCTGGCGCAGCCTGTGTCCTCCTGTCTTTCGGCTTAGGCGAGCTTTAGGACCAAGCGTCACAGTGTCGGACCTCGGTGCTCTGTGAGCTGAGAAGCGGGGCGTCACACCAGGCAGCTTCTGTGCAAGGGAACTCAGCAGTGGAGGGTGTGTGGTGGTCCGGTACCAAAAACCCTGCAGAGAGTTCAGGTCTCCCACACGCTATCATGGCACACGGAAGCAAAAGAAAGAGAAAGAGAAAGTTGTGCAGTTGAGGAGCTCTGGGATGACCCACTGTTCTCTGTGGAACAAAAATCCAAAAACTCATGGCTTTTATTTGTATCCATCAGGGAGGTGGGTGGGGGTTGAGGCAGAGTTCTAGGGAAAAGAAATTTTGCAGGCATCGACTATAAGGACAAACAGAGCAATCTGCATCAGGCACAAAGCCTGCTGATTAACTTGATGCATGCAAGGCTGGCACCTGTCCTTCCAGGAAGGTGTGATTCTTCCTGAGTTTCATGGCCTCAGGGATATGTGATCTCACGTCTTAGCCCTGGAATCTCACAGGCTTCTGCTTGTGCCCCCATTCCAGCCATGGGGGGTGGGTTTCTCTCCCACATGCTGCGCTGATACACACTGGCTTCTTGAGTGGACTCAGTCAGTACAGCCAGCTGTGCATACCTCAGGGAAGAGCGAGAGGTCAGGGAAAGACGGCGGCAAGGGGCGTCATTTCGCAGAAGAGTGCGTCTTGGTGGCCTCCCCAGCCTGGAGGGGGCTGCCTCTGCTGAGAGCACAGACAGCACTGCGCCTGGGGGGCAGCCCTTGCGTTGTGCAGATGCTGTGGGACTCCCACGATGGACCCTGGGGCTGTCTTGCAGCTGAGCACCGCAGTACTCTTTAAGAGTTCCCCTTCTCTGCTCCTCCTTCTTTATGATGTTGGAGTTAAGATCATGCTGTCGCCCTGAAGTATGTATGCAGCAGATCTCTCTCCTCGGTGACCACCATCCTGCTTTCTGTTTCTAACCGTCTGGCTACTCTAAGGACCTGCTGGAAGTGCAGTCATGCAGTATTTTTCCTTTGCTGGCTGGGTTATTACACTTTGCATGATGTCTTCAAGGTTCACCCATGTTGTAGCATGTGATGAGGTTTCCTTCTTCCTAAAGGAGGAATAGCGTTCCATTATGTGGATATACCAGCTTTTCTTGTACCTCTTGGCTTTTGTGCAGAGAGCACAAGTGTGTAAGTGTCTCTTCAAGATCTTGATTTCTATATATATTGCAATTATATACACACCTATGTGCGCTTGTGTAGTATCTTCTGCCGTGTGCTGATGCAGCAGGAAAGGTGCACACCCACCAGCAAGACTGTCAGACCGCATGGCATTCCCACTTCTAATTTTGGGAGAAGCCTCTGCATTGTTTCGCACAGTGACTGTACCATTTTTCACACCCACCGGCTATGCACAGCTCGCTGACACATGTTACTTTCCATTATGTTCTTGTTTTATAGTGACTGTCTTCATGGGTTTTAGGTGAGGGTCTTTCTTTTTTTATAATTCCCCAAAAATTACATTTTACTTTGGCTAAGGACTAGAGTTATAAGTACTAGTTGTTTTTTTTTTTTTTTAATAGGAAAGCACAATCTGGTCTCCCTGGATCACCTCTGGAACACATGTGACACTTCCAGAGGTCCCCAGGCGAGCGGCCAGTGCTCCCCACGGTAGGCAGCCCGTGTGCATCTTTCGTGCGCCAGTGTCCCGGTTTTGGTCACCACCTTCCCCTGGCTCTGGTCTTCAGGACCCAAGCCCAGCATGTACAGTGAAGGTCCAGTGCCATGCTGTGAGCCCCACTCGAGATCGTATCCGGGATACAGAAAGGAGGAGTAGGCTTTTCCCTGGAGCAGCAAGCTGGGTGAAAGTTAGACCCAGGGCACACATCTACTTTGTAATGCTAAGACAGAATCTCTGGACAGGGTCATATGGGTAGACATTTCTTACCCACAGCTGGGGAGTCCATGGTCAAGGTACCATCATCTGGGAAGGCCCTTCCTGCTGGGTCCCAGGAGAGGGCGAGGGAGGAGCCCCCCACCCTCTGTAAGGAGCGTCCTCCCCAGGGCAGCCTCCGACCTTTCATGACCTCACCCCCTGCATGCCAAGTTGCATGAGGGATCAAGTTTTCAGCACATGAACGTGGGGCCACCTTCAAACCACAGCATGAGGAGACCTAGATAAGCGAGGAGATCGAGCTTGGGCACGACCCTGACATTTTGGCAGGGGTGGGGTCCACCTCTGGTGGCTCATCTCTTGGAGCCTGTGAATAAAGGTGTTGGCTCCTACATCACAGAAGGAGCTACCATTGAAGGCTTCCTGCCTGTATTTCTCAGTGTATTTCTCAGTGCATCTGCTATGGAACAACCTAGCGTTCTAGCTTCCCGAGCTAGTTTATGCAAATTGTTCATAGCTGGGAGATGCTCGTATCATTTTGACATTGCAGGCCAGGGTTAATGCCGGGCTTCTCCCTCTGGGGGGTTCCAATATGGTGGGAGGTCTACGACACTTGGTGTCACCCCCAGAGACAACCTGTGCTCTGAAAGGTTGTTCCTCTGCTCCCTGGGCTTCCTGGGCACCTGCACCCCAGCACCCACTTGGTGCTCCTTCCCTCGTCCTTGGTCTGTCTGCTCAGTGCCCCAGGCCAGCCACTCTGCACTGTACTGTCCTTTCTGTCCCTGGCCTCTGGTTTCTCTGAATGCTTTCCATTCCCATCTCCAAGGCGGTCATTCGCAGAGGTTTACAGAGGTGGTCGCTCACAGAGGCACAACTGTGAAAGGTTAAGCTGGGGGGGAAGGTTAAGCTGGGTGAGGATGGGGCACAGTTAGTGAGCAGTGAATCTGGGCGGTCCTCTATGGTTCTTGGAGCCCAGCTTCGGCTCGGAGCGTCTTGGCCCAGAATGAAGGCAAGGATGGAGGTGAGCGACATGTGTCCCGCTGAAAGCTGGAGGTGGACTCGCTTGTGGGGACGCCCTGCCGCTCTCGAGACTGGAGAGGGGCAACCTTGTGGGCAGAAAGCTCCAACTTCAGGCTGCGATTGTGGCAGTTCTTGGGCATTTCTCTAAGTAGGCAAAATGAAAGAATCACAGACTTAATTTTCTCTTTTATTCTACATTCAAACATGGGCAGCACTGGTCATGAAGACCTTTAGAGAAGTTGTGGATGAATGGTTTTGTATATATCTGAAAGTTCAGTGCACAAGCGTGTGTGTGTGTGTGTGTGTGTGTGTGTGCACACACGTGCAAGGTAGGAGTGCTCCTTTGCTAACCCTACTGTCTTGTCTTGAAAATTCCATTGGGCAGAGAAAAAGGAGATGCTGATCCGCCTTTAGAGTGAAAGATGTTCGCGCGTGCTTTGCATAATGTCGCCAGTGGCAGACTTGGCGCAGGTCCTGCCCCTTTCTGCCTCTTCGCTAGCTCGGGGTACCGTTCCTGGCAACATCGGTCTGCCCCTGGGGTCCCACTCTCTGCTGCCACCTGGAGAGCTTTGGAACATGCTTTCTAAAACTGTTACTGACCTGGGTCCAGTTTGATTGCTGTCCCAGCGTGCCAGTCTTGCAGCATTTCCTGGTGCGAGAACTTCAGGTGGTGTGGAGGGAAGGAAGAGACACAGGCAGTAGTCTTCAGAGTGAGCAAGGTGGCAGGTGCTTTCCTCCGTTCCCAGCCTACCTCCCCAGCTGTTCTGGGCTCACACAGCGTTCCCTCGTGCCCTCCTTCCTGTTGCCAGGCAGACCCTACCTTCTTCTTAAAATTTTTTACAATTTTTGTTAACCCACGTGTGCAGTTCATGGTGAGCACGTTCCTCAGGGGCGGTTGGTGCATGCTTAGAACACAGCTTCATTCTTTTCATGTCTGCTCCCTCCTCCATCTCTCCATCTTCTTCCCTTTTGCAAAACATCTGTCTCTGTTTCCTATTATCTATCTTTTAATTTGCTCTTTATTTATACTTTGGATTCCTCATATAAGAGAATCATAGGATGTTGAAGTGTGTGTCTGATGTCCTTCACATATTATTATGATCTCATCCATTTTCCTACAAATGACTCAGGCCTATCCTTCTTCATGGCAGAGCAGTGCTCCATGGTGTGTAATCACTATTTTTCTTTATCCCTTCATCTGTTGATGGATGCATAAGGCCCTGGCCTCTTCTACCCCAGGTGCTCCTCTGACCCCAACGGCAGCCTGACTCAGGTGCCACTCTGTAATGGCTTCTCCATGAAAGGTCAGCCCCTGGCAGGTGGAAGGGGAGCCCCTCACCCAAGCAGTGCCCCAGACCCCCCTGCGCACCTTGCTGCTGGAGTCGCCCCGCTCTGAGAGCTGAGCATTGCCTGCCCCGGGCTGAGTGACCTCCCACTTCCAGTGTCGCCTGGGGTCTCGTGTGCACGCGTGTTCCACGGGCTTGGCATGGAGTTGACTGGACTGAACCGGGCGGAGGTGCGCCCCCACCCGCAGGCCGGGCTCTCCTCCTGTGCCTCCCGGATGTGCAGTCTGCAGCACTGTCCTTTGCTCTTCTGCCTCCTGGACGTTGGGGTCTGGTCCAGTGCTTCCCTGGGGACCTTTTGGGGCTCTGCATATCGCTGACCACAGACCCCTCCTCTGCCTCGCCCCGCAGGCGGGTGCCCGCTGTTCCACCCGCTCCTACACAGCAGATGCCGCCCGTGCTGCTGAGCGGGGAGCTATTTCGATCACAATGAAACCAACAGCTAAGCACTGATGTTTTCGTCTGCATCTTGCAGCCCTGCCAGCTTTACTGTAATTATGTCATTCAAGGAAAGAGTCCAACCATTTCCTGTTCCTGGCCCCTTTGAAAAGATGAAAATTGTGGCCCTGTTTCTAAGGAGTGTAAAACTGGCTCTGCGGGAAGTCATTAGGGATTCTGTCATATTTGCCAAGTGAAATCTTGAACAGCATTCAAAGAGGAGCAGCAGCTGGGGTGGCCGGAGTCCTGTCCTTTGAGTGGAGCGGACATTCAGTCTTAATCTGCGGAATCAGTGAAAAGTAGGACGAAATGAGAGTTGCTGGGCATGTATCGAGGTGGGCATGATACTCTTCCTTGGAAGAGCATTCATGAGCTTATAGTTAGTTGTACCTGGTCGACAGCCAGGGACAGGGAAGCAGTGGCACCCTGGCTCCGAGGCCCCAGGTGGGGTCTGTCTGTCTTGCATTGTCCCTGCAGCAAGGAGGTTTGAGTTGTCTTAAACTCCCTCCACGGTTCACGTGGGAGGGTTCCACTGCTTCCTGCTGCTCTGTGGCTCCAGCTCCCAGGGGCTCCGGGCGGCTGGGAGGAAGTCGGTGCCACCTGGTGGGTCCCGAGGCTCAGGCAGGAGTCAATCTGCAGTGTGAATTGATTTCGGGTAGTGCAGGTGTCCTTACCACACCCGGTGAGTGCGGCAGTGCCGGAGGGCCCAGACCCCTCGCGGTTCCTGAGCGGGGGCTGTGATAGAGCTTCACACTTTGGTTGCTTCAGGGGTCAGCCCAGGCACAGAGGTCACCCCGTCCTGATTTTGATCCCAACCTGGTTCATACTCTGGAAAAGTCTCTTTTTCTCCACTCCAGGAAAGGCCCGATGCCCTGCAGGCAGGGAACCCATTGCAGACTCCTGTGTTGTGTTTTTTAACAGTAGGAGCTGGCTGAGGTCAGCCACGGTCCACAGGTCATCAGGTCATGGCTGGGTCCGCGGGTTATCAGCTCTGTGTCCTTAGAATGTTGCTGGGAGGAAGGACTTGGTTTCCTGAGAAAGCCTTCTAAAGGTGGAGGCTGCCAGAAACACACATCACCTTTAAGGCATTTTCTGGTCTCCACGCGAGACACCGTCAAGACGCCCTCGGATCCCCAGCCTGGCCGTAAAATCCTGCTGTTTCCCACCAGCTGCCCTGGAGTCGACACCCGCAGAGCGAGCAGGCGCGGAAAGCAGCCCGGCGGTGGATGCCACGGAGCTGTCCCCGTGCAGGTCCCCCTCGACGCCCCGGCACCTCCGCTACCGGCAGCCCGGAGGTGAGCACGGCACCAGGGCCCCAGGCAGAACAGTGTGGGGTGGGTTCTTGTCGTGTTGGGGGTAAAATGAACTGGAAGCAGTGGTGTTTGGGAAGGACCTGGGAGTGAAGAGCGGGTGGGGAGGGGTGTGCCTGACGGGCCTGTGTGGTCCCCCCATTTTGTGCGGCATGAGATAGATGGAGAGGCCTGGCACGGGGTGGGGGACAGCCTAGGGACCCCACCGTGTGCCTGACTCTGCTTCCTTACCAGGAGCCTGGGGTAGCCTTAGGAATGGTTTAGGGGTGCCCCATCATTGGGGAGCTTTTGTCTAAGATATCTAAAATAAGGTCCAGTTGCATGGGACTGCATCATTATTGTTAGTAATAGAAATGTGTGTTTTCTCATATATATGGTTATGGAAACTGTAAAGTATAATCCCATAATTTGTTTGGGAACGAGCAGATGTCCTGTAATCAGTGGAAACAGAGCAGAAGGTAGAAGTCTTTATGCGCACGGCCCCCATCACTCCGATAGGAATATCCAAGTAACTGATGTTCTGAAATTCTCCTCAAACCAGTTATTTCAGTCACAAGAGAAAATTGTACAGTTGTGAAAGATTCCCCCCTGATAACCTGGGAGAAACGGAAAGGTGTGTTTTGCTCTCACATGCAAGCTTCACGCGGGCGTTCAGGCATGACATGAGGTGTGTGGCTTCCCGGGTCATTTCATCTGTGGCCTCAGCCACTTGGCGGAAGCTGTTGTCACTGTCCTTGTTTCTGAGAGCAGTGACAAGGGAGGGTTGGGCCATTGTCAGGTTGGTCCCATTGGACATTCATCCTTAGGGCTCTCAGCAGTTGTGGGCCACCTGTCCTTTGAGAGGTTCTGGGAACCGAAGTTGACAAGCTAGACCACCCCGGCTTGCCGAGGGACTTCTGTGGCATTCGCAGATCTCTGTGCTGCTGGTTCTTAGCGCCTTAGATTAGTGCAGGCCTGGCAGTTTCCATGACCACTGTCGTAGAGGGTAGACCCTCTTGAGTGAGCGCCCCAAAGACTTTGGGCTTACAGACCAGGGAGATAAGACTCTACAAAAGCAAGAGAGAGCTAGATGCTGTTCACTACCTTGTCAGTTATTTTCACATTGCTGGAACACAGTGCCCAACCAAGAGAGGTTAAAGGAAGAAAGGGTTATTTTGCCTCACACCGTATAGCGGTTTCTGTCCGTAGTTGGTTGGTTCCAGAGCAGGGCGCTGTGACAGAGGGACCTGGCAGGGCAGGGTTGCTCATGGCATGGATTGCAGCAGGAAGCAGAGTGAGATCAAGGGAGGAGGAGGGAGACAGACCCTCTGGGCCACGCCCCAGTGACCACCCTCTCCCACCAGGCCCCACCTTGTGACATCCACCCAGCTATAAGATCATCAGTGGACCTACCCAGTGCCACATACCCATGGCCTGGTACCACAAATCCATGCTCTGGTACCACAACCCGTGACCCAGTACCACATACCCGTGGCCCAGTACCACATACCCGTGGCCCAGTACCACACACCTGTGACCCAGTACCATACACTCATGACTCTGTACCACATAGCCAGGATCATGACCCAGTCACTCCCAGAGCCTCACCTGTGAGTGTATGCGGCGTTGGTCGGGGAGCATCTAGATATAAGCCGTAACAACTATATTCACATATCAACTTTCTTAATTCTTGGAGGATTCTTTGGAAATTTTCCTGTTTGTGGGCTCCTCAGCTTGGTTTTCTTTCCTGATAGGACGAAGTTACAGAAACCTAGAAGGAAGGCCGAAATCCGTGTTAACGTAGTAGAACCCAGTGGGAGACTATCGTATTTTCTGCCGTGGTTGTCCCCTACATCCAAGCCCGCCATGCAGCGCTTCCCCTGCTTGCTTGCTGGTGTATTAAAGCGTGATTGTACGACTTGCAGAGTGACTAAAGAGAACCCTGCAGGCAGAGTTGTAACTCACTGCTTTCACTAATGCCCGTGGAGGAAAAGCGCGGGCACCAGCGGCCTTCCCGGATGTCTCAGTCAGGGAAGTGATGGAGCTGCCCGGCCTCTCAGTTCAGGCTTTAATTTCACATGGGCTGTCCCTCACCCAACCCTCTTTTTAAAGGTGCCTTGAGAGGAGATCCTATCATAACACGATGTAGAATTTTTCAATAAACATTTTATCTCGTATAATTCACAGGCTATCAATTTCACCCTTTGAAAGTATAGTTAAGTAGATTTTATGTATTCGCAGGTCAGACAGCCCTGACCACTAATTCTAGAACATTCTCACCCCCCATACAGGAAACCCGGTGCAGGTTTTCGTATGGCTGTGTGTTTTTATCTCTCTCGGCTACACTCCTGGTGTGGGATGTGGGTGTGCAGTCTTACTGTTCTCCTCTTAGCAGGAATGGCACAAGATACGGGCCCAACCCTGCACCCACTTTCGAATAAAATGTGAGAACTTCCATTGTAGAACTGTGTCCATCTGACTCGCCTTCCCTTCCCTCTCTTCTGCACAACCAGGACAGACGGCAGACAGCACCCACTGCTCCGTTTCGCCGGCTTCTGCCTTTGCGATTGCCACAGCTGCAGCAGGACACGGGGGTTCCCCGGGTGAGTGGGGATGTGCCAGGGACAGGCTCGTGGCCCTGTCCGCCTGGGACTTCATGGTGCGTCTCCGGGTCTCGGGTGGGCTCTGTTCAGAAAGCATGGGAGGAAGTCCTGGGCTTCGTGACACGGGTGATCCTGCAGGACACTGTAGTAAGTGACATACGGGGTGTGGTCAAAAAGTAGAGAGTGGTATTAAAAATTATTAGTGTAGTAAAAGATATATTGCCGTGAGTCCCCTCAAAATCCTCCTCCTTGCATCAGATACACACTTGCCGCTCTCTGGAGCTGTTCTGGAGGCCTTTCCTGAGTGTCTGTCCTGGCTGCTTCGATGTCCTAAATCATTCAGAATGTTTTCCGTTCCTCATCATTTTGACTTTGGGGAAGAGCCGGAAGTCGCACAGTACCAGATCCAGTAACTAAGGCGGATGAGGACACAGCGACATGTTTTTATAAGCCGCCTTTCCGTTGTATGGCCCTCGGCAGCCACACTCACCATATTGTTATCATAGCTGGTAAAGACCCTTAGGAAAGAGGGCTCCAGAGCTGCCTCAGAAGGTAGCTGGACTACGGGATGAGTGTGTGGGAAGCCAGGAGGAGGCTTTTGAGGGCCATGAATGGCAGTTTGCTTTTTACTGTAGTGCCCATTTAAAATGTAAACACTGACTTTAGTTTTGGATCACCTCTGTAAGCCAGGCACAGGAGCACCTAAAGACGCCGGTCTCGCTTCCGGGGGCAGTCTGACGAAGTCTAACTCACAGGGAGGAGCTGTGGGGAACAGTGGTGACCAGGCCAGAGCGGAAGAGGTGATGCCGGGCAAAGCAGTTAGAGAGGAGGACCAAGTCCTAGAGGTGTATTACACAGCACAGGGACTCGGTTAATACTTGTGTTCTGTATTCTTCGAAGTTGCTGAGTGGATTTCAGATACTCTCGCCACACACAGAAAAGGTGAGTGACGGGCGTGCTAATGAGCTTGATCAAATCATCTCTGGTGCACACACACATCAGAACAGCACTTTGTGCCCCATAAACATAAACAATAGAATGAAACAAATATGCAAATAAGTGGGTGCCCTCAAAGGAGCGTCACTGCCGTGGGTGGGCTGTGCCTCTGACACGCTGCACCCGAGAAGGAGAGGGGACGTTCTCCAAGGTGTCCCACCTTGTGCTTGGGCCCTTTTACCCTGTGGCTGCAGACGCGGTTGTTTCAGCTGTCTCAGTCGCCTGGTGCGGGTGTGAGCTGGAGGGGAGTTGACAGCGTCGCTTGTCACTTGAGCTCCGTCCTCGCTTGCTTCCAGTTGTTCTTGGCTCCTTCTGAGTTGCTGACAGTTCATTTGCAGGGTAAAGAAGTACTTAAAATAAAAGCTGGTTTTGAACAGAGGAACATGGTGTTCACTTTCTCTGTCTTCTCTTCCAAGCAGGGAGGACTGTGTGTTCTGGCCAGTCTGTGATTGGTTTAAATAGAGTTTTTTCTGTGTTTTCTCCTGAACCGAAGCACTTGGTGGCAGTCACGGTTTGAGAGGTGAATGTCACAACATTATCCTTCCCCACAGCCAGCTCCCCTAGCCTTGCGGTGGGAACCAGCAGGGGACAGAACAGAGAGAGGCGCTCACGGGGCCCTGGCCTGCTGTGCAGTGTGTGTCTCGCGTGTTCTGTCTGGATGGAAATTCTGCAGATCTGCCTTCCTCAGCTCCCTGGGCACTTTGCCGCATGTGCTTCGTTGCACGTGGTCACCCGAACTGGGGGTTCTTGGCCCTAAAAGGCTCCAAGCCGCCTGTGGGGTGTGCGCACTGCTCCACAGGGTGGAAAGGCGGTGTCCGGGCCTGAGCGCGCCATGTGAGAACGAGCCTTTTGTGGTGGGATGGGGGGATGCGGGGGGGGCGGGTGTGGGTGTCGGTCTTCCCTTCCAGGCTCACACGCTGGTCTGCCTGTGAGGCAGGGAGGGCAAGTGTGTCCCGAGTGCCTGGAGTTCAAGAGTCGATGTCCCCCGGGCTGGGCCCATTTCCATGGCCTGGCCCTGTGTCCCTGTGATTGCAGCGAACGCAACTGTTCTCATGACCTTCAGAGAGTGGCTTTCTGATGCTGCCCTGTGCATTCAGGTTGCCCCAGAGAGAAGAAGAGACCCAAACAGCGAAGTCATCCTCGCTTTTGGAGCTTGTCCCCTGCTTTGCACAGCGTCCCTACCCTGGAGTTGGCCCAGCGTGTGGAGCTGAGGGAAGAAAGAAGGCGGCCCCAGGGGTGCACAGGCTGCTGCCGGCCTCACAGTGTTCGACACATGCTGTTGCTCACGGCACTCTGCCGTTCCATACGCCGGCCTCAGAGGCCACGGGGACTCCTGGCAGCAGCACCTGCGCATTGTGGGCTCAGCAGGTAGCCAAGCGTGTCTCGCAGGGGACCCCGCTGTCCAGGAGAGCGGGGCAGAAGAGCTGTGCTTCAAGGCCACCTAGGAAAGTGGACTCCGAGCAGGAGCAGGGACATGCTGCCGGCTGGGCACAGCAAGGCAGAGCCTGGGGAGGGGCTGGGGCCGGGCTGCAGGTGTCCCAAGGAATGGTGAGCCAGAGAAGGGCCGGCTCTGGATGGATGGATGGGTGGATTTGCAATCCCTGTGGGAAGCAGACACCGCTGCCCCAGATGCACCTGCACCTGGCCAGCCGTGAATGCTGGGAGATGTGGGGGGAGGGGAGCCTGGGTGGGCTGCGGCAGTGAGGTCTGCACACTGCACATCCCGGGCCCTGTCAGCTGAGCCGCGGGGGACACCAGTGGGCCTTTGCAGTCACTCCCCGTCTGAGTCACTTCCCTTGCTGCTGGGACACAGTACCCGACACCCACAGCTTCAGAGGAGAGGTTGATTGCGGCTAGAGTTTCTGTCCTAGCTGGCTGGCTCCAGGCGGGCGGCCTGGTGGAGGAGAGGTGCTCACAGCGCCACGCACAGGAAGCGAGGAGCAAAGGGGGGCGGGGAGGGAGCTGAACCCCGCCAGGCCACGCCCACCCCAGGCAGACCCCAATGCCTGATAGCCAGTCAGCTCCAAGCCCCCATTTCCCAGTCACCTACTAGCTGATTTCAAACATTCACCCCACACTTCTATGTGCTGAGCCACTTACTTTTCTTTGGTTATTGCTGAGAAGCCTTTCTTGTTGCATTAAACAGAATTTCAAATTTCGCAAGACGATGGATGGAACGTTTACTTTACAGAGAGACCAGGCTGGAGGCTCCCTCTGGCCCGGGTGAAAGAGGACCGCTGTACTGTGCCCGTGGCTCTGCTGGCCTGTGGGTCTGTCCAGAATCACCGCTGTGCTGCCCTGAGCAGAGCTGGCTGGAAAACCCCACGGACCGCAAAGCCTGGTCTCTGCCTCTGCTTCGATTTTTTCATTTTTATTGCCTGAGGACATGGAGCCCACCCTTTCCCAAATCGGGTAGATCTTTTTCTTCTTCGACTTTACTGCAACAAGCCAGAGAATGCAACTTCTGCCCTCTGAGGTCAAGGTTGAGATTTTATGTTTTCTGTCAGCGTGGTGACCTTCAGGGAGATTTTCCTGGATTTTTACCCGGACTTAGAGCCAGTACCTGGGATTGTGGACTAAGCCTCCTATATTAAGCCTCCTGGGTTTATCAGCTTCTCCGGCACCCCAGCAGTGCCTCCGTAGCAGAAGTGATGCTGTCTTGTTCCCTCCCTGCCCGCCCTGTCAGTTTTGAGTGCCGCCACGCCAGCTGACAGGTATTTGTGCTTCTGCTCAGATTTTAGAGCTCTGCATAGACACGAAGATGTGTGCACTTCAGACGGCCACTGACACAGGGAACCTGCGGGTGGGGTTTGGAGAGAGTTACGGTGTGAACAGAAATATAGATCCACAGAATAAATCGATCAGGAAGCGCCATGTGCTCACTGTCAACCTCAAACCACAGCATTAGTTACGGAGTTTATGAAGTGATGCAAAATGAAGCTTGAGAATGTGAGGTGGGTTATTTAAGGAGCAGGATGTAATGACTCACGGCAGCAGAGGTCTGAGAAGCAACAACTGATGACCTGGGAGGCGATTGTACGCCTTGTAGCTTTATGCAAGTTGAAGTAAATTAGCAAAGTAAGTAGAGGAATGGTCGGATGCACAGGAAAATTAATGGCACAGCTATAATTGCGGGAGAAAGAGTGAACCCTTTGTTGGTGATGACCTGGTACTGGCAGGGCACTCAGAATCTGTTTTCTCTTTTGTTAACCAGCCATGCCTTACAGGGTTGGCAGTAAAGCTGAGTTTGGTGTGAGTTGAGCTTAGACCAGCTTTTCAAACGTACGGATACTTAGTCCCATTCCCAGAGAGCCCCACCTGATTCGCCGGCGTGTCTTGGGAATCCAAATTTTCTCAAGCTTCCCCAGCAGCACCCGTGTGGAGCCATGGAGAAGACCACAGTCTGAGGTGAAGCCCGCGTGAAAGAGTGTGCTTTTCAGAAATGCTGACTCTCAGGCTACACACCAGTCTTTCTGAGCCGGACACTTTAGAGGTGGGGCCAGCACCTGCACTTGGACAAGTTCTTCACCTGCTCTGGCTGCAGGATAAAGTCGGAGAAGCACAGAGCACATGTAATGTTGGAGCTCCCTTCCCTACTTAAAAAGTTGGTGACGCTTGGTCCTTGGTAGGCTGAGGCAGGAGGATCACGAGTTTGAAGGCAGCTGAAGGATATTTGGATTGTTTCCATTGTTTGGCTGCTATGAATGAAGCTGCTATCTACATTTCTATACCGGTTTCCGTGTGGTTGTTTGATTTTATTTATGTTGACTTGCTGGGTTGTGTGATAAGTTTATGTTGACTGTTTAGTAAACTCCCTGCCACGTTACATTTCCGTCAGCAGAGTTCTGGTTTCTCCGTCAGGTGACACCGTGCTGCCCCCATTGTAGAGCACAGTGGTCCCGGTCTCCCCCTGCAGCGTTGCTGTCCTTTGCGTCACTCACCCACGTACCTCACTCACCCCACGCATTGCCACTGTTACTGTAAGCAGTTATCTTGTAGATCAG